TCTTGTTTCTGTGCCATTCCATTTGAGTTGAGTATGCATGTGAGTCCTACGAGTTCTCATTTGAATGCATAAGGCAAAGCACCTTGATCAATGAAAGTGCATTGATTAATATAGGTGATCTACTTAGCAACCTGGAAGCAATGGTAGGCCCTTGTGCTACTAGAAGGCAAGAAATTATGATTGAACAAGTTTAGTCCATATGAGTTTAAGTTTGTCATAAACCTTATCTTATGATAATGGTTGGAAATGACAAATTTACATGGATAGGAACACATACACCATAAAATCTAAGTAACAAAGGTTTCTCTCCATTTCATGAAAATAATCGTGAGGAAACACTTTCACTAAGTAGGTTTTAAAGAGTTAGCAATTATGATATTTGCGTTCTCAAATTCGATTATGATTACGACATCCCTCTTCATATTTCAAATTGTGAGAAATGACAAATAGTCTGAACATTCGGGACTTATTGCTGTAAGTTTTGAAATAGTTTAGACACACATATGAGCTTTCAATTAAAAGGTGTATGAGCTTAGATAAAGCTTATCGAAGCATCTCATATCAGAAATCTGAACTTTGGAAAGAAAGTCAATAACTATTGATTTCTAGAAGTCCAGCTGATTTCTGGGTACATGTCAGAGCTAGTGGGAGCATAAGTGTTATGTTGGTAAGAAGTAATTATTATGCTAGTGGTAGCACAATTATTACGACAAGTGTTGCGAGTTAGCAATACTAATTATAGGAAACAAAGTTTTGATTTGTAAAGTTGCAGAGTTTGAAAAATTATTTTGCTATTGTAAGGGAGAGGATACTTATACTTTATTTCGAATCTAAAAGCTTAGATTGAAGTATTAATCGTACTTAGTCATGAACATATATGAATGTCAAGTTGAAATGTTTCAACATTGGAAATTCTATATATGGAAATATGTAGCAAGAGACTGGTAAAGTATCATGTCTTTATGTAAGACATTATGAATCGTATCCCATATGCTTCGGGTATAGGATCGATTGCATATGCTATAATATTTACATGTTATGATTTTCCAAATACCTAGGGCATTAAGAGGGAAAAATGACCAGAACCGGATATGACTAAAGTAGTTAAACAACTGTCAAGTACGATCTAAGGTTCTCTAAGGATTTGTCGCTTGTGAGCAGTTGGAAGTATAATAATGGATGGACCATATCGACATTATTTTGAATAGATAGGATTCTATTAAGCATGAATTGTCATATGGAAAATATGGAAATGTTTCCATAATGGGAGTTGGATATTAAGAATCTATGTGTAGGTTAGAAACTTTTATGCAATAAGGATGTTCAAAGGAATGTACTTTGAATGTGAGACTTCGTATCTAGGGAGTTGTCTTGTAACAATCTCTAATGGAATGATTTGTAATTGGCAAAGTCTTTATGACTTTGGTGCCTTAACATTACAAAAGGATAATTGCATGATAAGTTTAGAATCTAAAACGTTCTAATAGTGACAAGAATTTGGTATTCTTACACTTACGACAAGGATTTGGAATTGTGAAATGAGCATCATTGGAAATGTTTTCAATTGATCTATTTCACAAAGAAGGGACCATAGATAAACATAGTGTTCATGCTTGGAGCATGGGATAACTATTGTTTTTTAATTCAAGTATTGAGTAGATTAGTTGAAACATTAAACAATGAATAAAAGTATAATTAATATGGTGATTAAATAAAAGATGTTTTATTTATATTCAAAAGAGTTGAGACCTTATTGGATTCGATTGTTCTTGTGTTTCACTTTGCATTTTTTACTTCCCGAATAACTGGTTTGAAGAGTTTTGCATCCTTCTCCGTCCTTAGAAGATATAAAGTTCAAACCTTGATGGCTAGTTCTCTAGATCTTGCTTGTGTGTTAATTTCATGTCCCTTTTTGGCCCAAATTGTTAAATCTCGAACATGGCATGTTCTTAACTCATGAAGTTGTATTTTCAGACTCAAGTAGTGGGGTTAAGTCATAAAAATGGAGCTTTAGTGGCTAGTTTTGTCCCATGCATGTTAATGGGAGTCTTATGGCTTTAATGTATTGGGTCTTTAGGGATTAAGCATTTTATGTGCATGCCAGGTCATAAAGTTCCCAACTTTATGACTCTTTATAACATTTGGACCTTGGATCTGATTTGGGTGCATTAAGTCGTTACATTAAGCTCTTAATGAAGGAATCATAATTTCTAGGGTTACGCCCAGCGTACCTGGGAGTACGCCCAGCGTACGCGGTCAAGGGTCCCGATGAGGTCAAGGAGGAGTACGCCCACCGTACCTCCATAGTACACCCCACGTACTCGCTCTGGGTCGAATCGGCTGGGTTGACTCGACCAGTTTGACTAAGTTGACTCAGTGGTTTGACCAGTTTGACTTTGACCTAGTTTGACTAGGTTTGACCATAAGGGTATTTTGGGTTATGACTAAGAATCGGTCAATGTGATGATTAGGTGTCGGATTGAGCTGAGATTTGGAGTTAGTACCTCAACAGCCAATGTTCAGTCTGAGGTGAGTTTTCCTCACTGTATCAGTGGGCCGATGACACCAATGTCGCTCATTCTGTTATGTATCCTGATATGTAGAGTGTTAGCATGCAGTAGTAATCTGTGGATCTGTTGTCTATTTACCTGTTGCCTGATTATTTGTTTATCAGTTATGCACATGTCAGCATGTTATGGTGTATGGTGAGACTGGACTGCTCTGTGCGTCAGTCAACAGACCAGGGGTATTCCAGCCCGAGGCTGATTGAAACCGACATGTTGGTATTCAAGCCCGAGGATGCTTAGGCCAACATGCTTATGATACGAGGGTATTCCATCCCAAGGATGACTAGACCCATCGTGGACATGCCTGGTATTCCAACCCGAGGCTGATTGGGCCACGTATGAGTGTTTGTGTATGTGCTTTGTTTTGTAGTAGTATTTTGGGGAACTCACTAAGCTTTGGCTTACAGTTTTAGTTTATTGTTTCAGGTACTTCGGATGACCGTGGAAAGACGAAGGTGTGACCGTGCACATCCTTTTGTTTATAGGTTTTATGATTTTAGGATACTCTGTTATTATATAAGCATTTTGAAACAATGGTTCTGTAACATTTTTATAGTTGTTGGTTGGTTTGAAAAGTTTAAAATTGTAGTGATTTTCGCTAGTGTTACATGAATGAAGGGGTCTCAAAGAGATAATGATGATTAAATAGGGTCCAAACCCTAAAAATTAGGATTTGGCCATCAGCCACGTACGCCCAACGTACAAGGCAACCCATGTTTTTCCATTTAAAGAGCCACACGACCAATTTTGCAAATAAAATTCATACCAAGGGTTAAAATTGTAAATAACCTGAATAATGAATGTTACAACATTGCTATAAGTGTTCCTCATCTAAGGTTAAATGCATGAAATGACAATTTAGTTTTCTTGATTCGTTTATTATATCATCTTACTTTCATCTCTCCTTGTTACCATTGTATTTTTAAAATCTACCTAGTACATCAATATCATCCAAATAATTTTCAATGTTATTATTTTCTTTATTTTTCATATATAATGTTATAATAAGAAATTAAAAGAAAGTGGATGTACAATGCTATGATTAATTAGGACTTTCCAATTGAAATGTTGTAATTAAGATAAAAAAGGATGATATATATATATATATATATATATATATATATATATATATTATATATATATATATATATATATATATATATATAGTCTTCTAAAAGGCACGCCATGACGTGAGGCGTGACTTCGCCGTTACGAAAAACTTCATAACATTGCTGTTTGACGTGACGCGTGGCAATGCGTGATATGGCGTGTCATGGCGCGTTATGGTGTGTTATGGCGCATGTTTTCTCATTTGAGACATGTTTTTTTTGCTCTTTGTTATGTTTTTTCTAATCGGAGATACAAGTATTGTGGTTTTTGTTAACTTATTATTATTAGTTATTGATATAACACTTCTAAGAAGTAGTTATATTTAATATAAATTTTTATTTATATGGTAATATAATTATAAGTTAATACAAAATCGCCGCCTTACATCACGCTTTGAAAAACGCAATGGTTCGCCATAGCTCGTTAAGCTTGATGCTTGGGCTTGCCGCCACGTCACGCCTCACGCTATTTAGAACCTTTATATATATATATATATATATATATATAATATATATATATATATATATATATATATATATATATATATATATATATATATATATAATTGCTACTTTCTGCGTTTAGCCGTAAAAAGCAAATTAGTTAAAAATGAGTGAATTGAATAAAAACTCTGGAAGAAGACCCTAAAGTTGAAAGATACTTTGGATTGAGTAGAAGTATTAAGAAGGATTTGATGCATAATCCACGTCTTTAAGGAAAGGATATATGTTGTGCATGCAAAGAAGAAAGCATAAAGGGTGGCAGAACATATGCTCAATAAAAGGTGGATTGTGCATAGAGAAAAGCATGTCAAAGTATTAATTACTAAATCTATAACTAATATCGCTTACTACTCTACTAAAAATTGTATAATGATCACTAACATTTAATTTATGGGTTTCTGGAGTAAGAATTAAAAGATTTAGCATACATAATTTTTAAAGTTGAAAATTTCAGAATATATAATTTTTATAATCGAAAAATTCGAAATATTTTATGATTACTTTCTAATTTTGGTATTGAAAACTTGTGATGGCTTTACAAGCTTTAAGTTTTATATTACTATTATCCATTATCATCCATTTGAAAAATACAAAATTCGCTATTATAATGAATATATATCTCATAAAATGAATTAAACATAGTATTTCCTATAGTTTGCTTTTAATGATTATACTTCCAAAAGAAGCATCTTAAATTGAAAAGCACATACACCCTTGATAGAAGTCTATAAAGTCACAAAGCAGGTGAGTACCACAAGTTTCTCTCCACACCACCACTGTTAAACTCTTAGTTCTTCAAAGTATTACATTTTATGCTTATATGGAACAACTCCATACTTCCAACGTACTAACACGTAAATGGTACTTCTGTTTCCTCTTGATCTCTATATTTTCGAAAGTCGAACCGTCAACCACACCAGACGCAAATTTACTATGCATTAGTGAGTGTGGCACGTGTCCTGTCATATGTTCTCCACCACCTTCACCACCTGCCCAGTCAAAGCCACCGTCGCTGCCCATTGAGTCAAAGCCGCCACCATCACCATCAACCGACGACTCAGAGCCACCACCATATCTGACTCCCATATATCATTCAACTCCACCACCACGACCACAGCCTACGCCTTCATCTCCTCCACGCACTAAGTCATGTCCACCACCGTCGTACATCACAATGGGTACCAATGCACCTCCACCTCCGCCTCCCCCCAAAGTGGTGGTTGTTCCTTCGACTCAGGTTCCGGCTGTCGAACCAAAGAACAATCCATATCCGTATTACTACTTCTACACCTCGAAGGGTGTTACTTTTTCTGTTGATTTTACGGGTTTTGTTATTGTGTTCTTGTCCTTTCATGTCATCTTTCTTTTGCTCGGGTGATCATAGTAGTGTCAGATGGTTTTACACTTTGGTTCCAAGAAGGATTTTTATTGAATTTTGATTCCTATTTGTAATTTATACATGTTCATAGTGAAATATACGTTTTATTCATTGCGAATTTTTGTCTATATAGCAATGTTTTAAAAACCAGTTTGAACCGGCCGGTTGAACCGGGAACCGAAGAAAGAACTGGTTCATTGTAATAATTTTATGTCAATTTCTGAACAAGAATGAACTGACCGGTTTTTACAAAGTCCTAATTGAACTAGTTAAATTAAATAAAAACAAATGAAAATGAATCATTTTGTATAACAAAGTTTGATATTTTTTGTTTCAGGTCTATTACATTTCTTTGAATAAAAATATATGGTAATGTTATGAAGTTTTTTAATGTGTTTGTATTCATTTAAAACTATATTTTGTTTCCATATTTTATTTTATTTTTATTTTGATGTACTAGGATTGATGTAAAATTTATGGTCGTGTGTTTTGTTAATATATTTGAATTGATGTATAACTTGTATTTATTGTATTTTAATGTTTAAATTTATGTATGTCTATGTATGTATAAGAAAATAAGAAAAAAATATAAAAATTATAGAAACCGGTTGAACCGTTCAAACCAAAAACTAGTCATCATACTGGTTCAACTAAAAAACCGATTTTTAAAACATTGCTATATATATAGGCGCTCGACTTGGGAGATGTGCGCTATATGTGATGTTTCTTCCTATACTAAATTGTTATAAAAGACTAAACTATTTTGCAAGACTAAACTATTTTGAAATAAATAACAATCAAAACTAGTTTTTAAGATGGTGCCAAAAAGAAAAATACTTTAGAACTCTTTTTAATGCCAAAACTTCATATGCCAATTGTGAATAGCTAAAGCATACGTTTCTTTTTCTTTTCTTTTAATCAAAATTTCATCTTTTAATTATTTTGTCTGGATCTTTAAAAATCTTTTTCACACAAAAGATGAAGAAGAAGCAAAGTTGCTTAAGCTATTGCGAAAATTGATGTTCATTTTGTTAATGACCGTGAAATTTTTAAGCTTTATATGAAGAAAAAAGGGTTGATGTCATTGTAACCCAACTTACTATTTGGTTTATACTCGTTTGGTCTCTAATTAGTTTCTATAGATTATAGGTCATCAAACTTAAAATATGGCTCAATAAACCATTGGCATAGATGTGAAGGGGTAATTTGTTTACCTTGCTTACTAGAGATGAAAGTGGGTCCAAATCTGACCTAGATAGATCCAGACCTAAAAAATATGGGAATCGGTTAATGAGATTGTGTAGGACCAGAAACCAGACTGGTATATAGGAACCGGTTCCGGTTCGTTACTGGGTAAGGTACTAGGTAAAGAGGGTTTAGAACAAAAAAGTTCGGAAACATTAAAGTGGGCCGGTGGAATTGGGTAAAGTGGGTCTATAACCAAAAAACCGGAAAACCAGGGACCACCAAATTTTTTTGGCAATTACTTAATGGGTTAAATTTTAAAAATTTAGTTTTGATATCCTAACTTCGGGAGACAGTAAGTTATTGAATATTAAACCAAAAATAACAAAATTATAGTCTAAAATCATGTATAAACTCTAAACCACACGTTGGAAAAAAACTGATGATAATCTGACTTCAAACAAATTAGATATGCATGTTTTAAAATTTCACAGAATACAAAAAAAAAAAAAAAAAAAAAAAAAAAAAAAAACAGAAAATTTCTAGCTTTGATATCCCTACTTTGGGGGACTGTAAGTCAATGAATATGAAACCAAAAATGAAAAATTATAGTCTAAAATCATGTAGAAACTCTGTTAAATGTGACTTGAACATTTACAAGAAAAAAGGGTATCAGAGACTGACATAATCAGTCTTTGATGATCAATAATCAGTCTCTGATGAGAATTAGGGACTGATTTAGCTAGTTCCTAAAACCTAGTCCTAGATAGTGGATTTTTTAAGTATCCGGGACTAAAAATTAGTCCCTAAAACATCAAATTATCAAAGACAGAAGATCGGTCTTTGAAACCATCTTATTCAGTCTTTAATGTGATTTCTTTGAATCCCAACTATTATGTCATATCAGTCCCTAATACTATCTTTTAGGGACGGAATATCAGTCTTTCATGCTATATCATTCAGTCTCCAATAATTTCACTCAAATCTTTATTTTATGTCGTATCAGTCCCTGATACTATCTTTCAAAGACAGAATATTAATCTTTAATACTATTATGTTCAGTCTCCAATGTCTTTTCTTCGAGGCCCACTTACATCATATTAGTCTTTATTAACGGAAAATGACACATAATTTACGTGTCATAATGTTAAGTGTTTTAAAAATATATATAGTTATGTACTTTTCATAGATTTATTAATTTTCAAGTTAAATGACAATTAATGTCTCATAATACAAAATAACATATCATACACAAAAAAAAGACAATCCATTTCACAATATATAGTATATTAAATATAAAAAAATTATTCCAATGCTAAACAAACGTAATAGAGTAACTTTTTCATCACATCACACCAATTCCCCTAACAAAAGACCATATCCGATTAAGACATGTTCAAACCCATTTACCTAACACAAATGAACTAGTTGAAACACGAGACCCAATCAATCATCTTCTGGTAATGTGCTCAACTAGATGTGTGGTTCACCTGGCGTTGTGGTTATCTTTTCTGTAACTACCACCCGACGATTGGCAATTGTGAGAAATCGTCAATTGTGAGAGAAGGTGCCCGAAACAGATTATGTCATTGTACTTTATAAGCCAAATTCTAAAAATCTATCTAGTTGGATGGAATGAAATGACAAAATGAATAGAATGGACAAGGTAATGGAACGAGAGATTGCATTCCATGATCTGTCTGATGACATGTAGGAATGGAAAAGATTTTTGTATGATTTTTTTATATTATATGTAAATACATTACATAACTCAATCCCTACTCTATAGATTATTTTAATTAATGAAATTTTATTTACATAATAAATAACTAAACATATTAAAGGCTTATTAAAACCCAAATAAGTTCTAATAAAAATTATATTTATTTAGCTATTTAGAAAAAAACATGCCTAAGGGATGAAATTAATCGTCCATCCCATTCCATTGGGGAAAAGACATAGATTTTTGTTAATTCCAATGGAATTAACCATGCCATTCTTTCCCTGATTCTATCATGCCAAAAACTATCGTACAAAAAGCATGTCATTCCTTTGTTCACATACCTGAATGTCCCTTCAATTTGTGATGCAGTGAGGTGCATCCATTGATCCGGTAGCAAATTTGCCGACCCAAAATCAGAAATATACAATTCCGTTAAAAACTTTAATGTTAGTAAAATCAACAATCACTAAAAGTAAAATATCTTTGTAAGAAAACAACTAACAAAAAGCATAGTCTAAACCTGCTTATTTTTATTTGATTACCTTAGGTTCAAAATCCTCTGAAAGCAAAATATTAGATGCCTTAATATCCCTATGAATAATCCTTTGTTGACAACCCTCATGAAGATATAAAAGACCTGAGGCAACACTTATGGATGGAGGCATCAATTGTTAGTGATGAAGGAAGATGCACGGAGACTGAGATGACGTAAACATGGTGGATGGCTTCTTTCTTGGACCAAGACCATTTCTAAAAAGTAATATCATTCATTTACCTACACCTATTTATCGGAAAACATATAATAACTTGTAGCAGCAACTCTATACCTTCTCCTCCAAATTTGAAACATTTTTGGCCATAAAAAATATAGAAAATTGTTTTTACACCTGCTAGGCATGGAAATCAACTACAACAAAGCTTTCTTAATTAACTTTAGTAGTAATTCATGAAGGAATTTAGTAATTAATCTCTATAACCATACATTCAATAATTAAAGTTCGAAATATGATCAAGAGCAAAGTGGTATTGTTTCCTATCTTAAGACCATCTGTTCCAGAACCTAAAATACCAGATTTACCTTGTTTTGAATATCAATACTAACATCTTTACAAGTTGGTAACTCCGCAAGTTGCTCGCTTTCTGTCATCAAAAATGGGATTTGTGTATAGTAGAAATTGTGATTTGTATGTATACAAGAGATTATGATCAGATATGTTATTTTGTATAATCTTTGTTTATACTTACTTGATATAACATGTTCCGCCAGTTCACTAAACCATTGTTTCAATCGAGCCTACAATTTTAACCAAAATGAAAAAAAGAAAACAGGTGAGGCGTTTTGGATTTGACATTGTTGATGATTAATAGGTTTGGTGAAACCTGACCTGCTGAAGGAGAAACAGGGTTGATTGGTAGAAATTGCTTCAAACCTTCAGTTTTAAGTAAAGGAATAAGTAAATACATGAATGTTAATTAGGTTATGGTTGTCACTCGCCGTAGCTTCCATCATAAGCAGTCTAAAATTTGAAGTCCCGCATGTAGAACATCTCTCCACTACTAGAAAACAGACCTTTAATGACACACAAGCAATGACACATGCTGATTTAAGATACGCATTTTGTGCGCGTCCTAAAAATAATGTCAGTTTTCTAAAATTTAAAGGACAGAGGACACACATTTATGCGTGCCCTAAAATTAGTGTCCAACAAAAAAAATTAAAAACACGGAGGGCACCTATATTAAACCGGGTGTCGTGTAGAGATGTCGCTTTATAATTATTTCAGACGCGCCTCGACCGAAGTATCAGTACTACTAAATTCCACAAAATCGTAGGAACTAGGGCTTTTTTCAAGAACGAAAACACTTGGTGCTCTCTGGCCTCTGTAACAATCGATCGACAATCTCGCCTCACTTGGTTGAACTTTCTGAAGGAATTGGTATGATTGGGTTTATCTATTACCTATTCATCTCTTCTGCCTTCCGTTAGCAGCGACTTTTGCTACCACAATGTCCTTTTCTACTTCTCTACCGAAATTGTCCCGTGAGCTATGTTAGACTATGCTCTAAGTCGGAAAACAAGACCACGGAAGTT